TAACCCCTAAACCCTAAACCTCATAGCCAAGCTGCGGCAGTGGCCAAGGCCCAGCTGTCCCTCGAAGCCGCGCCCCCAAGACCAGAGCTCCTTCAGACGGTGACGAAGGAAGGGGTTTAGGCTTTGGGGGGTTGGGCTTTGGGGGTTCGGGTTTAGGGTTTAGGGTTTGGGGGTTAGGGTGTAGGGTTTAGGGTTCGGCGTTTGGGGTTTAGGGTTTGGGGGTTTGGGTTTAGGGTTTAGGGGTTTCTGAGGTGTTGCGGTTTTCCGTGGGTGGTACGTTTCAGGAGATGGCAGTAGGTGGATCCATGTGCTTCATAAAGTTTCTGGGGGGATCTCTAACTTCGGGTGTTTGGCCTGGGATTTAGGAGCCTCCCCCTTGGGCCTTCGGCGGCTTAGGCTCTTCGCAGCACGCTTTGAAAGGGGCTTTTGTAGCCCTAGGAGAGGGCTTTTGAGCCTTTTTTTGTCAAGGCCGGGGCTTCGCCCGCGCTCCGGGAACGCAACCACTGCTGCCACACGACTTTTTGTTTGAAGGGTCGGGGTTGTGTGGTTCAGGGGTTGGGGGGTGGTGGGCTTGTAGAGATCCGTGCCACAGATGTAGGTTCCTAAGACCTTGGGCTAAGGATCTTGCAGCAAGTCGGCCCACTCAGCCCTTTCGAAGTCTACTTCATGTCACGAGGAACATTCCGCGCTTCTGTGAAAACCGCTCAGAGACTGCTAGGCGGGCCCCACATGTTTTGGCAAACACTTAAGGTGTGGCGAGGAACATAGACATGTCACATGGTTGTGCGTCTAGGGGTGAAGCAACCAGTCACGATGACAGCTCCTCTGACATGGTCACTGCCAGGGTGAACCTCATCTCATGCTGAGGGCTGAGGGCTCTCTCCGGTGAGGCGAGGGATGTCGGAAGCTGAGGGCTGGACTCGTGTCCGCAGCATACCTCCGGAGGATACTGGACCATCAAGCACCCAAACACAGCGGGGTGATGCAGGACACCTGTATGACAATTCGACTCCATCACAGACAAATGAAACTGGCAGGCAAGAATCCGAAAACAACACCGGTTCGTTAAGCCCTAGAGACCTGCCTGCTTGATGACTCGTCCGATGTCCAGGTGCTTCGGCACCCAGTAGTAGATCTGACCCTCCTCTCCTGCACATCACCGCGACCCCAGATGCCCACCCAGCAAAGCCCTGAAGTGCATAAAGGCACAAACCTCTCGGCACGAAAGGTCTCGCAAAGGCTCTCCTGCGAAGCCGAGCTGTCCCGTAGAGTCGCAGCCCCAACCTCGGGGTCGGCACCAGCTTAGCCCTTCCAGGAGACCCTAAACCCTAAACCCCAAACCCTAAACCCTAAACCCTAAACTCTAAACCCGAAACCCTCCTTTCTTTGAGCCGGGGCGCCATAGAGGAAGCCGCCGTGGGTGCGAGCGAAGGCGTGCGTGGAGCCGCAGCTGAGCTCAGCCACCACATAGGCCAGCTTCGCCTCGTCCGGGGGCGGAGGCCGATTCAGCGGCACTTGAACGGCTTGAAAGGCGCTTCAGAAGTCGTGTTGGGGCGAATGCGCCGACAGAGACAGACTTGCGTTCCGCGTAGACTTGCCTAAGTATCGGAAACATCGGGGAAACTTCAGCCTTCTTCGTACGGGGGAGACGAACCAAAAACGGGCAAGGAGATTGTGCAGCCTAACGCTTGTCGGTGAGGCCCACATCACCATTTTGGGTTTTGCTTTTTCTGCTGCTCAGTGCTCCGTCCCGGACAACGAAGAATCCATCGGGTGCAGTTGCAATAGGTCTTGCTGCACGTGAGTGAGCACTCAGCAGTTCCAGTCCACAGAAAGAGTCTGGTGTGCAATGGTGACAGCACTTCTTTTATTTTCACGATTTCTGCCGCGATGGTGATGTTCATGCAGGCATGCCTATAGCTAGCACAGCGCCTGTCTGAACCCGGTTTTCGCTTCACGCCGAGGCACGTCATCAATGCGAGCATCCTTGCTCGAGTCCGTGTCTTCGAGCACGTCGTGAGGGATGAAGACGATCTGGTCCTACAAGGAAGCACGCCTACATCTGATCTAAACCTCACCGTGCAAGAAGTCCAAAGCCTTCTGGACTTCTGCATCCGTTGGCATCGGCAGCGCCCTGGCAGCGTCCGTTGCAGTGTCCGGTTCGGATGCCGCCGAAAAAGATGTGCGCTTGGAAGTTGTGAAGGCTTTCGCTTACTTTCCTTTGGCCACTTACGGCGCCTTGAAGCAGGACATGCGGCTGAAGGCTGGAGGCTTCCACTGCCGGATGCCGTCCGAACAACTGAACTCAACCCGCGAGCCAATAAGGGTAAACTACGTAACCCCCAATCCCGGGGCCGTCTCGGCCCTCCGAGGCCCCGGCTTAGGCGCCCACAGGGTCGTCTCGTTGCCGTGGCCCAGGCGGCCGTGGGCCCCGACACCCCAAGAGTAGACCAGCCCTTTCTCCTTGGCAGACTGGCTTGGGGGTCCGTGGGCATCCTGAGAAGTAAAGGTTTGAAAGGCAAGCCTGCAGCATCAGAGTGGCCCGAAGGTGCTGGGTAGAGGGATGGGTCTTCGGTCGTGTAGCGGGCGGGGCGCCGATAGAGACTGGACGGTGCAAAGGCCCACACCACGGTGTGACACATGCCAGAGACATGAACTCTTGACCCTGCGCTGCATAACTGGCACCCTACCCCGGCAAGTCTGTGTCTTTGGAGATCCTCCTGCAGAGTTCCAGGACGGCTATGCAAGCCGTTTAGTGCGAGTCGTGCGAATATCCGGATACAACCTATAGCTGGGACCCCAGACCGTAAAGTAGCCCAGGCTCCAGCAAAGCCATGCTGTGAAACATGCCAGCTGCTATCCTCAGCTGGCAACGGTCTGAAGGGACGGGTTTTGAGGGGGGCCCGGGGTGTGACCTGACTTCCAAACATTTCCGCATCCAAATAACCGGAGAAGCCGCGCAGCACCCGCTGCTCTCTCTCTCAACGTGCCAACAGATTGACCTTCCGCGACTCCGAAACCCTTCCTGCCGCGGCTCTGCAGCACCTTGCTCGGGAGCTGCAGTGCCACCGGCACAGAAATGCAGCGCCGCTCCTCCCAGTTATGCAAAGGGAGGTCGAGGTGCAGATTGATTGAAACTGAGGCATTGGAACTTTTGAGGGAGGTTGCATCTTGCTGCGCACATACCAAGGTCTGCTAACATTGGGTCCTGCGTCAGGGCAGAAGGCTCGTATCGAATGCCGCATGTCAAGCCAGTGCAGGTGCACAAGGAGGCCCCATCCTCTAAACTCAACTTTGGGAATAACCCTAAACCCTAAACCCCTAAACCCCTAAACCCCTAAACCCCAAACCAATGAAGCCCTTTAAAACACCTCTACTCTAAGCATGAAACCGGCTCCGCTGGGCACTGAATCATCAGGAAAATGCCCTGAAGACACCGAATGGCCGGCGAGCCACGCCCTCCACCAAGTGGCCGACTGCGGCACCGCTGCCGCAGCTGTACAAACTTCCTCGAGAGCTCGCAGCAGGGGTTCAGCAGTGAGGTCTTACGGATTCGTTAGGATTCCATACTTGCAGTGTCTATGATGTCTTTAGGACCAAGAAAGCAGTGTCCTGCGACAAGGTGGTCGAAACCTGGATTTCCCTGTGGACGGGCCCTTTTCGAGGTCCGACTTTCCCAACGCCCAACACCTCTCCGAAAGCAACCCGCACTGCAAACGCCCTTCAGGACGAGGGGCCGAACCGCGGGCTGGCCTGGAACGGCGACGTCCGGAGTAGTGGATGCTTTCATGTTGGTAGGGGCCTTTTTGGAACTGCACGCTGGGGCAGCGCAAGCCAAAGAAAAGAGGACGGCAATGAACACACGTTTTGCATCCTTGCAAATCCATTGTGAAGCTGCTGCGCTTCGGGGTCCCACCCTGAATCCGCGGCTAGCACAAGTTGCGAGACAGCGGCAGAACCCTTTGCTTCCTGAAGCCGAAGCCCATCCCAAACCCGGCGGCTTGAGCCTCCAGGAAAAGGGAATGGAAGCCTCCCAAAGCCAATGTCTTGATGGTCACCTCAATTGCCAGACACTCAACAGCAATGCAACTCAGCCTTGTCTGTGTCAGATGACGCCTGCGGTGTACTTTCCGAAGCCATCCTCTGCATCTGCTCTCCTTCTCGGCCCAGCCATGGCCGGGCCCCTCTTTGCCCAGGCCCTCCGAGCTTCCGGCGCCGGTCGTATCGAAGGACCAGACGAGCTTGGGTTCGAAGACATCCAGACTCTCCTCGTCTCGGGTCTGGGTGAAGGGCAGAAGGGTTTAGGGTTTAGGGTTTAGGGTTTAGGGTTTAGGGTTTTGGGTTTTGGGTTTTGGGTTTTCGGGTCTGGGTTTAGGGCAGACTTTCAAGGGTGAAGCTTGAGGAGCGTCCCGTAAGTGCTCTTCCTGGGAAGGCTAGCCGTGCATTCTTGCGGAACGTGGCCGGAACGTGGCCGCCTATACTCAACGAGGGCTGAGCCATGTTCCATATGCATATAGTATAACTTGCTATGCTCTGTTGTACTATCTAGCTACGTTATCTTATCCTAGCTTGGTCTATACTGCATGCGAATTCCCTGTACTTAAGTTACTCATGTTGTAGCCGACTGCAGTATAATACGACTTATCATAGCATAACTTATCAGGTCATGACATATCAGATCATAACAGATCATGTCATATCATAGCATACCAAACCATATCATACTGTATTACCTCATGCGCATGCTACGCAGTGACGTAGTGTATGCAACTTCTGTTTCTGTTCTATGTCAATGTATAGCGTTATAAGCAGCAGCAGTAGCAGTTTCAGTAGTAGTAGCAGCAGAAGGGGAAGTCGTCCTTATTCTGGACCAGCAGCAAAGGAATGTAATAATAGAAGTGGTGGTGGTATCGTCGCAGTAGCAGTGGCAGTAGCAGCAGTAGCAGCAGTAGCAGAAGTAGTGGTGGTGGTAGTGGTGGTGGTGGTGGTGGTGGTGGTGGCGGCGGTGGTGGTGGTGGTGGCGGTGGTGGTGTTCTTGCTTTCGCCATCGCGGCAGCAACGACAACGAAAGTAGTACGTCTCTGCGGGTCTGCTGTGGAGTCTACTCCTTGTGATTCATCTGAGAACCACCCTGGCTCGCCGAGGTTCTGGGAATCCAAGCCTGCCGGAGTCGCCGGCACCCCACATGTAGACACGGCCTCGCTTGTCGATGGCGCCACTATGGGCTTCACCACCGGCAACGATGGCCATTCGGTGCTCATGCCTCGGAACGGTGTGTTTGTGCTTCAGAAGAAAGAGCAGCAGGAGCTTAGCAGCAGTCTTACAGGAGGCGAAGACAGACATCGTTGACAAGCCGCGTGATCTCGATGTCCACAGGGGCACGACAGTCGTCGCTTTGAGATGTGCCCAAGCGGCCATTGCGGCCGTTGCCCCATGCGAACACCTGTGGTTTTCGGCATCTGGCTGGCCAGGGGCATTAACTCCCACCGAATACAACCCCAAAATCAAGTTGGCCAAGCCGCCACCCCATCTATGATGGCCAGGGAGTGCTGTGCTCCGGCAGCCATGTGACTAACCATGGCGTGGTCCTGCGAGGACTCTTGGGGTGGAGAGGCAGGTGATGGAAGAGAGAGGTGACAGGGACTCTGGGTGTGGCAGTAGCAGCAGCAGTAGAAATCGTAGCAATCGTAGCAGTAAGTAGTAGCTGCAGCAGGAGGCTCAGCCTTGGGCAGCTGCACCCGCGTCGGCTTCCGATGCCAGGCCGCAGAGGAGCCCGTGCCACACTGGCCGTGGCTGTTGACGCCCCAAGCATAGACATGGCCATCCTGGGGAGCAACTGCATGCGAATTAGTAAAGCAGGTGATGATGATGTGAATGTGAGGTTTGAGGGGCGATTGCCCTAGAATCGACCCAGGCACCGGAGCACAGCATACATCCCAACCAGCCAGGCAGGCCCGGTCCCTACGGTATCTTCCCAAAACAACAACTCATCCTCGGATGAGGCCTCACCACTCTCTACGCGCCAGCAATTCCTGCTGCTACTGGGCCACCAGCAGCGACCGAACTCACGAACAAGCGATCAAACATCTCTACTGCAAGAAGGGGAACACCTTGCTTCGAGGGGCTGTGGCCAGACACAGCGTGTGGTCTGCCCCACAAGCGACGTGCAGTGCGCGTGTCCCGGAGGTCCAAGGGAACATTGTCTTAATGGCCCCGCTGCGCGACCACCTTAAAATCGGTGGAAGCAAGCCGAAACAAGGGAACCGCATCCTATGAACAGGAATCCCTATGATGACCGTGCATGAGCACAGTTGGAGGTATGTCATGAATAAGGCACCAATGTTCTACTGTCCACGAATAAGAGCATGCAGGCGTGGTGTAATCTGGAGAACCAGCTGTTGCCAAAATGACCCTGCTCATCATCTGCATGCAACCCATGCATCCCGACGCACCGAAACCCCGCACTTGGAAGCTCCGACAACAACAGGAACCAACATTAACCATTGATCTGCGGGGTGCCATATGTCCAGCTCCACCATCTCTTGATCGTCCTCCTCTCTGCCACCTGATGGAGTGCTGTCACGGTTCATGCAGTAAGGTACGGTGCACAGTTTGGCAAGGCCGGTTGAAACCCTTTGCTCCAGTCGGTGCAGTAATCGGAACAGAAGCACTGCAGCAACTATCCAAGGTATCCGGGCCTGACAGGCTGCCCGGCCCTACGCCGAGACGTCCCTGATTTCCGAGGCCCGTCGTGTAGACTTCCTTATGCTGCCAAAGCTACCAAGACATCTAGCTGAGGCACTTGGCGAGGTCTACTAGCCTTAGGGATGACTCTTGGAGGGTGCCCGGCATTCGTTTCATGTCTAGGGTCTCGCACAGACCGATTCGCAAATCCTGATGGTTTCGCAGAGCCGCAAACCTGAAACATGTCTCCTTCTTTCGGTAGCAGGCGTAAAGTCTCCGAACAAAGAACATTGAACACATCCACCAACACAAGTCGTCCATCGAGCTTTCAGCAAGAAACGTACCCGAAGGCATCGGAGGATTGGTTCTTCTTCAGAAACACCGTGTGGTTCGTTCCGCAGTGCACCTCGCAGGCAGCATGAGGTGCGCAAAACGATGTCAAAGCCCACAGCAACAACTAAGCCTGAGCTTACTTGTTGATTTCTATACACGGCAGATAGGCAGACAGCGGTGCATGTATATCACCCGTCAGAAAACAGGCAATGACCTCAAAGAAAAGACAGTGATAATGATATGCAAGGCTGTGCAACTTGCAGTTAAGAACATCAATGAACACAACCGAATATGAGGTCGAGTTCGGCGGAAGGGCTGTGCAGCACCTCAACGAAACGATCGGTCATGTCTTCGTTGGACTAGCTGTGAAACTGATAAGACGCTAATTACAAGGTCAACAGTTAGCACTGCCATGATGAGCATTGTGATAGCAGATGAAGAAGGAAAAGAGATACACCGTCTGCGGCCTGCGGAATTCATTCAAACTGGCTTGCCTCGTGGATGTCGTTCCCAAATTTGCCCTTGCGCTTTGGCTGGAGCTGGCGTTTTCCCTCCGGGTCCTGAGAATCTGCAGTTGCTCAATCCAAGAGTTCAGAAATAGTACTTCCCGCAGAAAAGGTATACGTACACTCACAATCTTTCAGACTGGAAAGCCCAAAAGCCTAAATTCTAAACCCTCTTCAACCCTAAACCCTAAACCCTCTTCAACTCGAAACCCTAAACCCTCTTCAACCCTTAACCCTTAATCCTAAACCCTCTTCAACCCGAAACCCCAAACCCTCCGAAACCCTAAAATTCTCAGAGATCCGCGGGCCTGGTCCTCAGCCCTGGCCCGATCATCCGATTTGGACTTCTGGCCATGGACATTGTACCTCAGACCAACAGGGGTTTAGGGTTTAGGGTTTGGGGTTTAGGGTTTAGGTACCTTAAGCCAACAGGGTTTAGGGTTTAGGGTACCTTAGACCAGCAGGGCTTTAGGGTTTAGGGTTTGGGGTTTAGGTACCTTAAACCAACAGGGGTTTGGGGTTTAGGGTTTAGGGTTTAGGGTACCTTAAACCAACAGGGGTTTGGGGTTTAGGGTACCTTAGACCAACAGGGGTTCAGGGTCTTGTTTTTGAGCACCTTTCTTCCACCTCGCTAGTCTTAGGTCAGCAGAATCCACATGGTGGAAGGCACCCAAACAACACCCTGTCGACGTCCGGGGTTTCGGGTTTAGGGTGCCTTGAACCAACAGGAGGCTGACGGTCTGAGGCTTCTAGTTGAGGCTTCAGACTTGAAATTTAGGGCTGGGTTTTTGTTTACATGACTTGTGTCTAGGAATCCAGGATGCCTTGACCGGCAGAGTCAAGTTCAGGAGAGGTATCAGCACGGACCGGCGTGAACGACAGGACATGCTGCGCCAAAACCCTATGTCACAAAGCAGGCCAGCAGTCATTGCACACTCCGCCCTGGTATTGCATGTGGCCATGCGAAAGTAACGGATCTAATGTGCCTATGATACCAGGTTCATGTATGTATGCATGCGTGCATGTGGTATACATACTTACATATGCATATCCCTGCGTATGCATTACGTTTACATACGTATACATTTGTGACAAATTTAAGTGCATGTATATGTGCACCCGCTGTGCCCGGCTTCTGTTTGGTCCTCCAGCGGTCAGCCCTTTGCTCTCTCCACTGCCGGAAGAGTCTGGGGGTGTGGTCACGAATGCCGAGTGTCTTCTGAGGCTGATTCAAGTCCAAAAACTTCGGGCAGGCACGCTGCAAGCGCTTTCTTGTGTCGTTGTCATGTCACTGGCACGGCCAACAGGCTTGACAATGTAATTGGAGGCCTGTGCATGTGTGGCATGTTCGCCGGGAGCGATGCTGCCGCTTCCTGCCCAAACGTCGTTGGGGACCTCCGGCGTCCGATTTGCACAAAGCTTGCGGCTTGGCAGCGCTCGCGCACCCTGCCATGTGGCACGCCTTCTGCTGTTGCAGACGCAGCTTCTCTCTTCTTGGTCTGTGTCTGTCTGTATGTCTGTGTGCTGCACGCAAGGTTAGCTGTTAACTTTGTGCAAGGAGAACTCCTCCAATGCCGGCCAAGGTACTGGTTGCGGCCCCAAACCCAGGCCTCGGATGCTGGCAACACTGGGTCGCGAAGCACTACTGGTAGCCTAAGCTGTACAAGTCCTCAGCTTTCAACACGTAACCGCAAGCTGTCCATCTTAAAGCCTTGCATTCGAAGCCCCAAGTCCGAAGCTCTAACTCTAACTTCCCATCTTCCTTCAACCAGCGAACCCTGAACCCAAGCACATCAATTTGGCCCATTTATACTCGAATATTATTCTTCTACATAGCCTCCACGGTGTTCTACTCCTAATGTGGTGTCCATCATGTAGGCCGGATGGTCCGCCGCTGTCTGCTCCTACGATGATGACGATGATGATGACGATGACGACGACGATGACGATGATGATGATGATGATGATGATGATGAAGATGATGATGATGATGATGATGATGATGATGAAGACGGCGATGTCGATGGCGGTGGCAGTGCTGGTGGTGCTGCTGCTGGGGTGGTGCACACACGAACCACAAACTGAAGCCCAGACTCGAAAAGGCATAACATCCCAAAGCCACTCCCCCAAAAGCGAGCCCGAAGCCACGAGGAAAATGCTTAGGGCTTAGGCTCGAAGCTGGCGGCACAAACACACCCGCTCTGTAGATCCTATAACGAAACCCTCGTGGCACCTCGCTTTCTCGGCTGATGGCCGCGGAATGGTAGAAGCCACACGCCTTGCCGGGATACGGGCGATTCGGGCATCAGGGTTAAGCAGGTGGAGCATCAGGATTTTTTTTAACCGGAGTTGTCGGTTTATGGGTCCTGCCTTCTGGGCTCAGGTCTGCTACACGTACCTCTCCAGACTTTTCCGATAGAAGAGCTCAGCACAAGCCCGTGTGCCGTTTGGCGTTTGTTCTGGCGCAACATCTCCGCTTCAAAGAGTTCAGCACAACTGCAAAACAACGGTCAGCCGTCAGCCCTCCAATTGAAATCCCAAAAACCTTCGAAACTCTGGCACTCATGGGCTCATGCGAGGGTGGATTGCAAACGACGGCCCAGGATGTGGGGCTTCGGGTTGGTAAGGGCTTCCGGGGCATATCTTCGCCAACACCGGTCCCGAGTCCACGCTAAGAGGGTGCCGAGTGCTGGCGCAGCACTATTCGCTGCGGCTTCTCCACCCAAGCATCTTTGGGGACCTGCGACGGAGTCCGAGTCTAGACTCAGAGGTTACAGAGTGTTTTTTCAAGCACACATATAAGACGTATATTGGGTGGTCAAACTCACACGACCCTGCTCCGAGTAGTGTGCTGGTAGCATTGCGGAGCAAATTGTTGTACAGCATTAAAGACTATGCAGTCTGTTTACAGATGTTGCTGCTACAGGTAGTTTAAGCTGGATTTGCTAGATTACATTCATGCTGAAGAGTATGATGGAGTATCGATTCCTGCGACGGGCCTGTGATCTTGGGCTTGGGGCAGCTCATTACCTGTGCTTGTACTGATCATTCATGCAGTTTTTCACGCTCACCACGATGATACCACACTGAGCCTCAGGGCATGAACAAGTAAAACTAGGCAAACACGCGTTTGGATCCAATGAAATTGGTCAAACAAGCATTCCCCCAAGAGTGGAGCAGAGCGTTTCGTTCCGAAAAGCGCTTCTGATGATGTCTTTGGCAACACTTTCTGAAAGGCTGCTGCTCTGGACCGCAGCAGAAGTCTGATATCTGCGAAAATGTGGGTTCGAAGGGCACCACA